CATTATCAACCGAAATATTCACACACCCACCAAGATTTTGAAAAATATATGAGTATTTTGGGCAAATTTTTTTTTTCCCAACACTAAATACTGGGGTGTGTGTGGAGTGATCGTGAGGTCACCCATGGTGAATTCAAAACATTCGGTACAGTTCTTAATAAATGAAATGTACCCAGAGGTGTTGGATATCACTATTTTTACAAAGGATTGAGAATCCCTCTCCTTAGAGCTGTAAAATCAGATGGTTTGAGCGACTGTGCAACGGTTGTAAGGCAGAGATGGGGTGGCTTTGAATTAGGTCAAAGCTTGTCTGCCTCATGTTGTTATCCCTTATTACTGAAACTGCTGTTGGACCGTGTGTCTTTAAGCCCATTGTTACAAAGTGCTTCACTCAATAAATTAATTGATAAGGTTTTTAAAAATTTGGAAATATTATTTAATTTTGTTGTAACTCGCAGCCCTTCTTATGCCCCCCAAAAATGTCATTTCCCGTTAGGGCTTGCCTACCCCTGAGTTAGGTACTTTCCAAATACTTTAAGTTTCCTACCAACCAGAAACCATTTTTCAGAATGAGGGCACCATGCTAATTTTTAGGCCTTGTGCTATATGATAGTTTTTCAAACAAGACAGTTATCATGTGTGCATCAATCGGAGGAAAAAAAAAATGAATTTGAATTGCTCCAGATGTCTTTCAATGGAATAACTGCTGTGTATGTGTAGATTGGGGGGGAGGGGGATTAAGGGGTAAAGTAAATGACACTTTTTACTCAGATTTTTCATACCTTGTGTAATAGGAAAGTTGTGGTAGGTAAGGGGTTAAAGTAAATGACACTTTGTACTCAGATTGTCCATACCATGTGTAATAGGAAAGTTGTGGTAGGTAAGGAGTTAAAAGTTAATGACATTTTTTTACTCTGTTTGTTCATACCATGTGTAATTTAAAAGTTGTAGTAGGCAATTTTTATTTAAATTTCTCTTTCTCTTTCTGTGGCCCCAAACAATGGAATTCTCTTCCACTAGACATCCGCAATATATGGACCACCCAGCCCTTCAAAACTGCACTTAAAACACAAGTCTTTAAACTCTACTACCCTGACTGGATTCCCCCCTCTGACCGATAGACCATTCTGCTGGCTGCCGTCCATGGCTTGACATGTAAAAGTTCTGGGGTGGGTGAGGTGAATATACATTTGTTTTGGGTTTTTTTGTTATACATGATATATTTTTATTAAATAAATGTATGTTCTTTTTTCATGTCATGATTATGTTTGCTAAAAAATTTATATAAAGCACTGGTGAGCCCAGCCCCACCCTTGTATAATCAGAAAAATTTCTGTAGAGTTCAAGATAAGAAGTATATGACTCTTAGGACTTCTGATTGCTGATGCTATCTGTTGACAGGTACATTACACATTGACAGGGACTGTATGTGTTGACAGGGTCTGTTTATGTTAAGATGGGGGACTGTGTATGTGTCGACAGGGACTGTGCACATGTAGACAGGGACTGTGTGTCAGTTTATAGGGACTATGTATGTGTAGAATGGGTATGTGTAGATAGGGACTGGTCATGTGTAGTTGGGGACTGTATGTGTTGCCTGGGTCTGTGTGGATTTTGACAGGGACTGGGTAGATTTTGACAGGGACCAGGTAGATTTTGACAGGGACTGGGTAGATTTTGACAGGGAACGGGTAGATTTTGACAGGGACCGGGTAGATTTTGACAGGGACTTTGTATTCATTTCATTGTTTATTCTTCCTCAGACTTAACACATCACATTCTTTTTGTGTACTTTAAAAAAAAATTAAAAACTATTTATGTAAGTGTCGGAATGGGAACTTTATGTATTGATTCATCTGACTATCCACTTATCATTTTTAAAAATTCTATTATTTGTAGCTGTTAAAAGAGTTAAAAGTAAAAAAAATGTTCACCTGTCATCTTACTGTCAGCTGTCATTACGCCATCTTACTGTCAGCTGTCATTAATTCATGTTGTTTTCATGTATTTTAGGAAATGAAGTTTTCAGAAAAAATGTCTTCCAGGATTACTAACTCATGAAAACAGACTTGTTATTGCCTTCATTGCAATCATTAAAATAACAAATAGGAAAACATGTTGGTTTAAAATTGAACATTTTTTTATTTGTTTATGATCACGCACAGTCAAAGCCATTTTAAAGGTGATAGTTTTATATCAAAATGATGAGTTATATGAGGAATTGATGTGATGAAAATGCCATCAGTTGTGTGGGTCCAGAAATAGAGCCTTGTGTTAAGCACACAAATAGAAAATGTTTACTGTTTGTGTAGGTGTGTGTGTTTTTGTGTGTCTTGGGGTGGGGGCTGGGGGGGGGGGAGCGCATGTCCATGTCTCAGATTTTATACTCACGTTTTCTATGCTCGGTTCACGCGATCAAATTTTGGGTACAATTTCTTTTTCGACGCACTACTTTGTGTTGACTGCAGTTCAAAACGAAATTTGGCAAAAAATTGATCGTGTGAACTGAGCATTAATAACATTGAAGTTTTTAATCAAGTTACGAAAGCCACTGAACTTTTGATGTCATGAATGTGTTCGTTTGAGTCATCAGGTCGGACTGGTGATTTGGAGTGTAGGGTGAGCAGCAATGAACCAAATGAGTTTTAAGTGGTGTGATTTTAGTGAGCGAACTTGACATGGTGATTGGATCGACGTGAGATTGGATTTGGCGTAAAGCTGTATATGACTGAGTACAAGTGAAGGTCCGAATTGGACTGAGCGTAAAGCTGTATATGACTGAGTACAAGTGAAGGTCCGAATTGGACTGAGCATAAAGCTGTATATGACTGAGTACAAGTTAAGGTCTCCGAATTGGATTGAGCATAAAGCTGTAAATGACTGAGTACAAGTGAACGTCCGAATTGGACTGAGCGTAAAGCTGTATATGACTGAGTACAAGTGGAGGTCCGAATTCGGGCAGTCGGTGTTTGACTTCTAGAAACACGTTTTGGTTTTTAAAAAAAAAATGTTTTGCTTGTATTATATGAAACTACAATTAGAAATGGGCCAACACCTTGTGTCTTACATCCGAGTGAACGTCATTGCCTAGGTGAGAACCACTCTACGCAGAGTCGTCGCGTGGCGCCTGCGAACCCTTAGGGGTGCCTCTTTGGGCGGGGGTGAGGGGGCTGCTTGGATATGTAAGTGGCCCGAAAATTGTGATGTGCAAAGTCAGAAAGTATTTCTTGGGGAATTCTAGGAAAGTATTTTTTTTCAAAGGAGGGGGGGAGGGGGGTGAATTCCAAAGAACGTATTACAGGGGATGAATTTACATCCATTGTTATGAAGACTGGCGTTGGAAAGGTGGGTCAGAGGGTAGGGGTGGTACTTTTGTACCTATATATTGAACGGCGCCATTTTTTTTCCAGCAGCAGATTTAATTTTCGTTAGGAAGTGGGCGTCAAAAATATTGGCAAGCCTCGGGCGGCACTAATCCTAGCCACGCCATTGTTAATGGTTAAGGAACCAAGAATGAAAAGTCATAGATTACTGACGTAACACATCATCAAAGTCAACAAAATTTTTATTAAAAAAATTCCGAACTCAAAAAATAGCTTCAAAAGAGCGCACTCCGTATGACTTCGTCCTGTGTCCATCCACACTGGTAACTCTCAGTAAGGACTCTCGAGTTGTCCGGTGTTGGATGACTGATGACTTGCACGGGTGACTTTTGTTTAAAGTGAGGTAGAGTTGCGCGGCGTCAACCTCACTCTCTCGTCCGGGCTCACCATGTCCAGTGGCAAGACTAAGTCAAGACGACCAGGGATGGGTACGGATGCAGGAGGACTGTGTTGAAGAGCGCAGGCTCTGTATAGATATATAGATACGCATATCCTCTCTACACCAAACACCTTTTCCCCATACCAAACATTCACGCCCCTAAACTTAGTTCACAACAATGAGGGCAATAAACTCTGAACAGGACTTGGAAACGTTTCCTGACACAAGTGAGAATCAAAACCTATTGGATTGGAATCTGAGATGCGAAAACACGCTGTCACCACAAAACCATTACATTCTTCACACGACTGCAGCAACAATAGATGTCATTCAACATCTCGACTCCACTGTGCCACAAAATCCACCATACGATCAAGAGACGGCTTTCTCTTTTGTTTTGTTCATTTCGTTTTAAAAAAAAAAAAAAAAAAAAACCACACACATAGCAACAATAGATGTCATTCAACATCTCGACTCCCCTGTGCCGCAAAATCCACCATACGATCAAGAGACGGCTTTCTCTTTTGTTTTGTTCATTTCGTTTTAAAAAAAAAAAAAAAAAAAACCACACACACTTTCCAGATTTCTTCCAGGAACTGTGATTTAACTGATTAGGTGGGCCCCTTTTGTAAGTTCATGTCAAAATGGCAGCTGTTGTCCGGCTTTTAGCTTGAAGGCTTTAAGTTTAAGTCAATTTTCTCACATTATCTCTCCTTTATTTGGGCTGTGAGGAGTTCATTAGTTTCGGCTATACACTCTGAGAGAAATTTCGAGCTCGTCAGCTCTTTGTCCACAGGCTGAAATTGTTAGCATTGCTCTATCTGGAACGTGTTACATTATTTCCATCTATTTATAATGTTACTAATCTGTAATGACGATAGTTGTCCTATGCCATGACCAAGTGCAGGAAAAAAAAAAGGGGGGGGGCGCAGTGGCTCAAAGCCCCAGGCGACACTTGATTGTTTGTTNGAAGGCTTTAAGTTTAAGTCAATTTTCTCACATTATCTCTCCTTTATTTGGGCTGTGAGGAGTTCATTAGTTTCGGCTATACACTCTGAGAGAAATTTCGAGCTCGTCAGCTCTTTGTCCACAGGCTGAAATTGTTAGCATTGCTCTATCTGGAACGTGTTACATTATTTCCATCTATTTATAATGTTACTAATCTGTAATGACGATAGTTGTCCTATGCCATGACCAAGTGCAGGAAAAAAAAAAAGGGGGGGGGGCGCAGTGGCTCAAAGCCCCAGGCGACACTTGATTGTTTGTTGAGGGGTGGGATTTTCGGTCAACTGCATTTTTTGGGCGCCAAAATTCTTGTTCCGCCCACAGTTGGAGCTAACCAATAGCTACGCCACTGTCGTGATCACAACTCCTGATTCCTTTGAGAGCCATAGTGCCATTTGCGTCACGTCTGCGATGGGAGAAAGGCATGCAGGTCTTGATTCGATGACGCACATCCGGCAGAAGTAGCCACGGCAAAGGATTGATAATGATACTTAAATTAGAGATGATCCCAGACAGGTAGAGAGCTTTCGTTCTGAAACTAATGTGAAAAAAGGGGGGTGGGGAATATTTGTGATTAAAGAAGATAATAATAACAAAATCCACTGCAAATTTACTGAAAATTTTAAGCATTGGGGGGGTTTTTTTTTTTTTTTTTTTTTTGCATGAATTTTTCCCCCCAACCCTTTTTAAAAATTATTAGTTACCGCTTAACTCATCGATATTGTGGTAACACACGTCACTCAAAATGGGTCAGCTGACCAAGATTTGTTCTACTTAAAAATTTAAAAAAATAAAAATCAATCCAACAACCCCTACGAAGAAAGTTGTTCACATAAATCTTTTATGAAATGTAATCTCCAACAAATTGGGGGAGGGGGGTTGTTTGGGGGGTGGGATGCTGACCATTTGACAAACATGCATACAGCTAATGCACTTGATCCTAATCCCACCCTCCCCCAAGGCTCGCAACCGTCCTTTTTTTCTCCATGCCCTTGAACTTTATTAATATTCTAATGACCCACCCGCTTCTGCACCGAAGATTTATTTAACCAATTATTTCAGAAAAAAAAAAAAAACAGAAAAAAAAAAAAACAGCAACAAAATTTTACGCACCAAAGGCACTTGCGATATTTTTTTTAAATTTTTTTTTTTAAAAGAATCCCATTTAGCGCAGTTATCGGGAATTTATTTCTAGAAATCATATTTCCTTCAACTTCCCCTTGAAAACAGATTTTTTTAAAAACGGCTTTTTGGGGTCGAGTGGCAGAAAATTGGAAAGAATGTGTTGTCATCGGTAATGTGTCTATTGGCAAAGCTTCAGCCTTCCCTTTGTTTTTCTTCACTAACTCTATGTCTGTCTGTAAAAAGTAGAGAGAAATACTTTTGTATAATCAGGACATTGTAGGAATTTCACTTAGATTTTTCGCATTTTTTATTTTGAAAGCATGTCTGCAATGATATTTATATACAGTAGAACCTGGGTAAGTCGACGGCTTCGGGGTTCGTGAAAAAGAGTCGAGATAACCGATGATCAAGATAAACGAAAACCAATATGGCGGCACTATATTAACATGTGCTTGAAATTGCTTTAGACAGGTACTTCAGTTAGCAAAAAAAAAAAAGTAATAATAATTTATTTAAATATTAAAGTCATTTCTAGCTATTCTCAAACTTTAAAAAAAAAATTGAAACTAGAATCAACTTTTTATCTCTAGGACTTTTTGAGTTGTGATTTTTTAAATCATGAATTCATTTGATATTTTCTACTATGGACGAAGCATTCACATTTTGTGGCCTCATTCTGGTGATAGCGTCATGTGCAATGACTATATAGTTTATATGAGTATAAGGCAACGAATCCCCTTATTACTTAAATACTATTCAGGGACTACTTATTGTGAACTTTCAACTTTGGCACAAGACTACTTAATTAAATCTTTTTTCCTGACCAATGGTTTAATCGTTTTTGCACACGGCAAACTTTTATGAATGAAACTCTGTAACTTTTACATGCATATGCGCATGTAAGCTTACCTGGAATTCTTGTCATCGTATATTCTAAGCCCAGCTAAAACCATGGGCACATCACACACAATGGTAAGCGTCACAGCGGTGATGTAGACCGGAAGTGGACCGACCCCGGAGCGAGTGTGAGTTCCCGCCTCGTCTGGATGAAGGCTTTCTCTCGAGCTCCTGCGCGACATGACGATCGCCGCGGCCGTGAGCACCACGGACGTCAAGTGGGGCAGGAGGCTAACCACGGCCGTGACGGGAGCCAAGAAACTGTGCGTTGGCAGAATGCACCCGTCCGGTAACCGACCTGCGACGTGATGGCTCGTTGAATAGGTGTTCAATAGCAGCGGGACTATAATCATGGCGGCCGCCCAAGGCAGCGCCATTAGAAGAATGCAGGCGAGAGTTCTGTGCATTTTTGACCAGGTCACTGCGGGATTGACATCCCTGATGTGTTCGATGAGGACGGAGATCAAAAAGACCAGATTCCAGTTAACGATAAACACTTGGATCAGCTCCAAGTTAACAATAGCTGAGTACATGTAGCATTCTCGATGTATTTTCGGATTTTTAAATTCCAAGTACACGCCGATAGGAATGCGGAACGCTATCTCTGTAAGATGGCACGCGCACATGTTGGCGATCAGTTTGTTGCGCAGGTGGAAGCGCATTGCTGGTGACGTTACAATGGATACAAGCACAACTAGGTTGACGATCAGGCCTAGGGCGAAGCAGACGATGCTTGAAACTAACGCTGCTGTTGCGAAGCGGGCAATGCCTTCATCCTCGGGTACACCCATAGCAAAATGGGTAATGCGATGACCTTGTTTTCTCCCGCGTGCAATGAAGATCGTAGCATCAAACATCAGTTACAGCGAGGTAAGGGATTAACCACCCCCCCCCCCCCCCGCTAAAAGCAGCAGAAATGGTCTATAGACAGAAACCTTTCGAGGCAGACGGTCGCACCGGTCGACCCAAGACTGAGATGGATTGGCGATGGAGGGACGGACTTACACCAGCTAGGGGTACCGCGCATGGAGGCAGAATGCCATGGATCAATCCGAATGGAAGGATGTGTGGTGGAATAGGCCAGGGCCTACATGGGATGTAACACCACTGATGCTGTTGATGCTAAGCGGAAGTGTCATCGCTCATGCACTTTCCCCATCACGCGGTTTCGGTGTTTGTATTCGTTGTTATAAATACTATAAGTTCATTAAGTCCATGGCTTGTTTCCTGTAACACAAAAAAAGTTTAGTTAAAGTGAAATAGAGACATTTTAAAAATTAAATCCCAATTATTTAACCGCATCCGTGTGAAGGATGGGCGTAACCAACGGGGGGGGGGGGGGGGGGCACATTTCTACCCACCTAACTGATGTACTTTAAAAAATGGCTTTTGCGAGCCGTCGAGCCAAAGCTCTTAATGCCCTCCTTAAAGCAGCCTCCTCAAGCCCGAAAAGTCCCCTAACTATCGGCCCGCGAAGCGGCACGTTGGAAATCTCCCCTTGCTAGGTCAGCTCCTGACCGTTACTTCACTCGTTTGACAAGCGCCACCGGGGGCCATCTCAACCCAAAGGACATCCTCCCAACACCAGCAGTCGACTTTCCCAGGGGCCAGGATGGTATATTTACGTCCTAATGTTTGCCCCTGCCCATCCCCGGGGAAAGCACCGGACGCCTTCTTATAGGGTTTTCTACTGTGGGTTACTACCTCATGAATAATTCACGAAGTGGCTGGGACGAAACGGTTGTCCTAGGAAAAAGCCCCCTTTAATGGCCGTTTATACAGAATCTTCGGCAAGATGTTGCCACTACCCACCTCGTATCTCATATCCGTCATCGGCAATATAGTAATCACGATGCCTACCCCGTTTCTACTGTTATTTAAACTGTAGATATAACCACGCCAGACAGAGACTACAGTTCGCACAGTAGTTACTACAATTTCGGCATTTACTATGCCCTTTCTCTGCCCACGCAGGCTCGCATATGGTGGTTATGTTCCCCGAGTAGTGCTAGCATGCCACTAAAGACATGTCGATCAGAGCACGGGGGGGGGTGGGGGTGGGGGGGGGGGGGACCACCAAACGGAGAAAGAATTCGATTGTGCTTATTCCAATGTTTGCTGATCAACTTCCACCCAAGTAAGTTCTCATGGTTTTAAATTTTTCTCTGCCCACGCAGGCTCGCATATGGTGGTTATGTTCCCCGAGTAGTGCTAGCATGCCACTAAAGACATGTCGATCAGAGCACGGGGGGGGGGGGGGGGGGGGGGGGGGGGGGACCACCTAACTGAGAAAGAATTCGATTGTGCTTACTCCAATGTTTGCTGATCAACTTCCATCCAAGTAAGTTCTCCTGGTTTTAAATCGCTTGTAATCGGTGAGTGATATTTAAATAACTTTCTGAAAAAAATGAATAATCTTTTGTGAGTGGTTTAAAAATAATAATATCAAAAATTGTTATCATTTAAAAAAAATTAAAATAATATCTATTCATTTAAAAGCTCTAATTCGTTAAGAAACATCCCCAAGAAAAAGCACTCATTATATTGCAAGGGAGGGCACTCATATAACAAAATTGAAACAAATCTTGTTCCTATTGACAACAACAAGCATTCCGACAATGCACACCAGAGGGATTGGGCTGGAGTGCAGAAACGTTGTGACGTACACTGTTACCGCGGACAACGAGGGCAATGGCACATCCGTTTATCTGCCAAGACATGCTCGGCTCGTACAAGAAGAGAAGAGGGTAGAGTAAACAGCGCAAGTGTAAACAACAACAACAACTAACCCCAAAAAAAAAGCATGTGTCTAAGTCTGGCACAGGTCTATTGAATCTTACATTGATTTCACATGAGACAAATGTGTTCTGTTTGCGAACGTTTAGGTTAAACAACAGCGTTACGAAACCAGTGGTGGCGTAGATACGGTTAGAGCCACCCGGGGGGAGGGGGTGGGGGGGGGGGTCAAGATTTTTTCCGCCCTTCTTCCACGGTGGGGGGGGGGGGGGGGGGGGGGGTCAAGATTTTTTCCGCCCTTCTTCCACGGAAAAAAATCTCTTGCGTTTTGCCAAAAAAAAAAAAAAAACAAAAATGCCGTCCCTCCATTTAAAGCACAAAGGTGATGCCCGGGTCGGAACGCCCCCCCCACCCCCACCTCCCCCGCACCCCACTTCCTACGCCACTGCGCTTAACTCGTTACGTTCGTTCTCTGAGGTTACACATTACTTTAATACCTAAGTTCTATGTAATTTTTTAAACAAGGCGGAGTTGCAGTGGCGTATTGAAACATTGTATCACACCAGGAGAACCCCGCCCCCCCCCTTTTTTTTCCCTACAACACCACTGCATGTTCGCATAGAGGTCTCCAACTCAAATCATCCGGGGGGCAACAGATGGTAGAGTCTGAGTGAGACTGGGGCCGCAGATGGTAGATTCTGAGTGAGACTGGGGCCGCAGACGGTAGAGTCTGAGTGAGACTGGGGCCGCAGATGGTAGAGTCTGAGTGAGACTGGGGCCGCATCAAGTGAAAAAAAAAAGAATGATTAAAATTCAATAAAGTACAGATGTTACAATCTGCTCTACCTTTATTAATAACAACATAAAACAATAAGGGTTCTCAAGAGCTAGGCTTCTTCTTACAGAGCTGAGCAACATTTGGCTTGAGTGAGGAAGCAACCGAGACCATCACTTCAGTTTGAAGCTTCTCATCAGCAAGTTTGAGCTTTGGCCCTGAGCTTTGACGTGTTAAATTCCATAGTGGGAAAAGAGCTTTTCACACAGATAGGTACTCCCCCAAAAAAGGAACTTAGAATTGCACTGATGATCAATCAGCTCCATTTGAAGTGCAAGTTTGGGAAAAGGGGGTGGGGGGGGGCATCTTCCACATTGAAGTAGAAGGATCAGCAAAAAGTTGAAAAAGTGTCTCTGTGTGTTTTGAAGTCTAAAAAAATGTCATCACATTGTTCCTGTAGTTTTGCAATGGCATCTGTATAGTCACTACTGAATGTTGTGCTCGAATCCGTGAGTACTTTTCATGTTGGGAAATGGAAGAGGTTTCTAAGAACCATAACACTAAGTTTTTGTGCAGAATGACCTGACAAGTTGCCCCTGGTCTTGTTACTTCTTGTTGAGTGCATTCATCTCATGTGCAATGTCAACAAGAAAAGCCAAGTCCATGAGCCATTTGGGATATCTTAGTACCAGGGTTTCTTTCAGCTAGATCTCGGGGGGGGGGGGGGG